TCCACATAGCCTCGCAGATTCCATGGGCAACGGGTCTGAATTCTGCTTCAACACTACTTCTAGCTACCACATTTTGTTTTTTACTCCGCCATGTAACTAGGTTTCCTCCAACAAAGGAACAATATCCAGACGTTGATCTTCTGTCTGTAACACTTCCTGCCCAATCTGCGTCTGTATAGACTTCAACTTGAAGATGTCCATGTTTCTTGAACAATAAGCCTCTTCCTGGAGTTCCTTTCAAATATCTTAAGATCCTATAGACGGCCTCAAAATGCTCCACCCCTGGTGAGTGCATGAATTGACTTACCATGCTAACTGCAAAAGAAATATCAAGCCGTGTATGAGACAAGTAAATCAACTTCCCTACAAGTCTCTGATATTGTTCCCTGTCCTTTACTTTTTCAACCTTAGCAACTTGTAACTTCAAGTTTGGCTCAACCGGAGTTTCAACCATCTTACAACTAAGTAGACATGTTTCTCCAAGAGATCAAGAACATATTTTCTCTAATTGACAAATATGTCTTCCTTAGATCTTGCAAATTCCATTCCAAGGAAATACTTAAGAGCTCCAAGGTCCTTAATTTGGAACTCCTTAGCTAATCTTTTCTTCAGAATAGCTAATTTTGTTTCATCATCACCAGTGAGTATAATATCATCAACATAAACAATCAAAATTGTAGCTTTACCATCTTTTGAATGTTTATAAAATATTGTGTGATCAGCTTGACTATGCAAGAAGCCATAATTGATAACTGTCTTTCCAAAGCGGTCAAACCAAGCACTTGGTGACTGTTTGAGTCCATATAGTGACTTATGTAATCTGCATACTTTGTTACTGCCAAATTTCTTCTCAAATCCTGGCGGTAGGCTCATATACACCTCCTCTTCCAAATCACCATTGAGAAATGCATTTTTAACATCAAGTTGATGTAGAGGCCAATCGGAGTTCACTGCAACAGATAACAACACTCTAATAGAATTTATTTTAGCAACAGGAGCAAAAGTCTCTTGGTAGTCAATCCTATATGTCTGAGTAAAGCCTTTAGCCACCAATCTCGTCTTGTATCTCTCAATGCTTCCATCAGCTTTAATTTTATTGTAAACACCCATTTACACCAGACTATTTTCTTTCCTTTGGGTAGATCGACAATCTCCCATATACCACTTCTCCTTAGTGCATTCATCTCTTCCATGACTACTAATTTCCAATTTGGATCATCCAATGCTTCCTGTATATTCTTTGGAACAAACAAATGTGAAATCCTAGATGTGAAAGCTTTATGGTTTTTTGATAGTCTGTGATAGGAAAGATATTTTGCAATGGGATGTTGAGTGCAATTTCGGACACCTTTCCTAAGTGCTATAGGGACATCAAGATCAGAATACTAGGTGAATTGTTGGACAAAGTGGAGTAAATCAAAGGTGTAGTAGGGATAGGATTACCTGAAGTTTCGACACCAGAACTCAGATCTTCATATTGGCTTCGTGCAGGGTTGATATATGAGTCTTTTTCTCAGATGAAATTTCTTCCTAGTATAAAACTGAAGCTCAGAATTCAAATCACGTTGATTAGTTTGTAGTACTTCTCCCCCTGAACGAGAATCTCCTTCATTAGGCACCAACAAACCTGGTTCTCCTAGGCAATCATTATTAGAAACACTTGAATTTAGATTTTCAAAGCGACCACTCTCAGAAATGCGTGGTTTTTGTGTAGGATAAATGACATTGGGTAGTGGGATAGAAATGTCCCAAAAATTGTCTTCTACATCACTTGTCTCCCCCTGAAGAGAATTTTTTGTGAAATAAGGTTTTGTTTCCAAAAACGATACATCCATACTCACAAGAAATTTTTTTGTTTGAGGATCAAAACACTTATACCCTTTTTTATTTGAAGAGTACCCTAAAATAACACATTTAATAGCACGTGGGTCAAGTTTTGAACGAAATTGGCATGGAACATGAACGTAGACAGTACATCCAAAAACTTTGACAGGTAAATCAGAAAACAACCTTGTTCCAGGAAAAGATGATTTTAGGCAATCGAGTGGTGTTTTGTATGTTAACACTTTAGTAAGCATCCTATTTATCAAGTAAGTGGTTGTTAAAACTGCTTCACCCCATAAGTATTTGGGAACATGCATGTAAAACATTATGGCACGTGCTACTTCAAGTAAATGTTTATTTTTTCGTTCTGTGATGCCATTTTGTTGAGGGGTATCGCGATATGTAGAGTGATGAAAAATCCCTTTCTCTTTCAAAAAATCACCTAAGTGCTCATTAAAATATTATGTTCCATTGTCAGAATGTAAAATATTAATTTTGGTTTGAAATTGGTTTTCAATCAGAGTGTAAAATTTTTTGAATAAATCTTTCATGTCAGACTTTTTATTCATTAGATAAATCCAACATAACCGTGTGTGGTCATCAATAAAAGTAACAAACCACCTTTTACCAGAAATAGTAGTAACTTTAGAAGGGCCCCAAACATCACTATGAATCAGATAAAAAGGTTTGGAGGCCTGATAATCTTTTGGTAAATAAGGGGAACGACGGTTTTTTGAAAAAATGCAATTTTCACAATGAAAAGAACAATCAATCCCTTTAAATAATTCTGGAAATAAGTGTTTCAAATAAAGAAAACTAGGATGTCCTAGTCTATAGTGCCACAACATTATTTTTTCTCGAACAGAAATTGAACCAGTACCACTAAAGCTCTGAACTTTTTTATTACTGATAGATATTTCATCAAAAAAATAAAGACCTTCAATCATCCTAGCACGTCCAATCATCATCCCCGAGTTTCGATCCTGAAATTCACAATGTGATTCAAAGAAGGTAATGCAACAATTAGAATCTCTAGATAGTTTACTGACAGACAAAAGATTGCAGGCTAATTTAGGAACATGAAGAACATTATTGAGATTAATTTTCTCTATCAGTTTAATGAGTCCTTTTCCTGCAATAGGTGAAAAACTACCATCGGCAATTCTAATTTTTTTCATTTCCAGGGCAAGGTGAATAGGTATTAAATAAATGAGAAAAACTAGTCATGTGATATGAGGCTCCGAAATCTATTATCCACGGAGAGGAATTTGGACAAGAAAGGGCTTTAGGATTACTACTTGTTTGTGCCAAAAAAACACTAGGTATACCGGATGAGAAATTGGATTTTATTAGTTTCAAGAGTTGATCAATCTGCTCTTTGTTGAAGGGACCTGAGTCAGCTTCACTTGCAGTAGGAATTCCACGATTCTTCTCTCCTTGCTTGTTGCTTTTCCAGTTAGTAGGTTTGCTATGAATTTTCCAACATGTCTCACGTGTATGGCGGGGTTTGTTGCAAAAATCGCACCAGACCCGTGGTTTATCATCAGACCTGCGCTGGTAGTTTGCTGCCTTGTAGGCTGCAACATCACTCAATAAGGCAGAATTTTCAATTAACTCACCAGTACTCCTCTTTTTGACTTTTTGAGCATGACATTCCTTCGGCTTTCTTCTCTTCTAACTTCGGCAAATACTTCGCCAATGGATGAAAGAGGAGGTCTGCCAATAATCCTTCCTCGTACTTCATCAAACTCAACATTGAGGCCGGCAAGAAATTTGTAAATACGGTTATCTTCTATAGTTTTCTTATGGTGATTACAGTCGTCAGTATTTTTCCATTCGTACGTGTTGAAGAGATCAATATCCTGCCACAGCCTTTTCAACGAATGAAAATATGTGGTGACAGAGCTATCTCCTTGACGAATCTCCTCCAATTTTAAAGTCAACTCAAAATCCTGAGATTGGTTGCCCAGGTCAGAATACATCTAACTAACATTATCCCACAATTCTTTTGTAGTAGGATAGCACATGTAATTGGAGCTTATGTTCTCCTCCATGGAATTGACCAGCCATGTCATAACCATGGAATTTTCAGCATTCCAAGTGGCGTACAGCGGATCATCAACAGTAGGAGTCTTCTTGTCACCAGTGATGTAACTGATTTTCCCTTGCCCACGAATATACATCCGGAATGATTGTAACCATCGGAGGAAGTTGTCACCATTTAAGCGGATGGTGGTGATTTGGACGGAATGAGAATTGGAGTGGTGCTCCGGAGTGGCCGCAGTAGGGGTTGAGGTGATTTCCGATGCGACTTCGGACATGACTACGGTGATTTTGGAACTGCTGTGTTTTAGGGTTAAGACACGATTATGGCTCTGACACCAAATTAGAAAAGAATGAAGAAATAATGTGTCTTATTTCTTGAATGAGTACAAGGCTCCTTTTATACATAGGGAAATTACAACAAAAAGAGGAAACTAATTAGAGCCAATATTTGACAGCTTCTACTTTCCTACTTTTTCTTGATTTACATCTTTTACTTTCTATATTTACATAGAAAACAGATCCTAGAATATCTCACAGATTATGACTAAATCAAGGCTTTCAATGACTAAATTTCCAACAAACAACGATCTTTATGACATGTAATTCAATATTCAATTTGTTTCCCAAGAGCAAGAACTGCATTTCAGAATCTAGAACCTAAAGGCAATTCTAAATTAATATCAACCTGAAACAATCAAGCAGTATTCCATGAGCCATTTAAGTTCGGGTCTTAACATGCACAGTTGCACCGGACAGAATTCCTATTATTTGAGATCTGTTGTATTAGATTTAATAAAAGTACTTTTCATCTTATTTGAAATATGTTGGATATTTGAAATTTTTGAATGAATAATTATAAAATATAATTAAGATTTGATATGCTTGTTGAATATTGGGTGAATCCTGCCTCTAAATATTTTAAATTTTAAATTAAAATCTTGGATATTATCTAAATATAATTAATTAATTTAAATTTTTATTAAAAATTGTTGATGTGTCAATTAATAAACTTATCCACATACACACACCATGTCAGTCCAACTCTTCCTTTTATGTCCAATACAATATTCAGACATGAGTGTGGAGATATGGCCTCTAAAGACCCACGGAATATATGGAAAAACATAGAATGAGTTGAATATACCCACATATAACACTCATACGAGTCTGAATAACATGGTATGCGTACATAGGCTATGTATGCATGTATTAACGTTTGATGATGCATGAACACTTACCAAATCCATAACCAATTATCAACCACACAAAGTACCCATTGGCAAGGTGATTCTTGTTCGCTTTATCGTATCTGAGACAACCAAACAGGGAATATAATCTTAAACCCACAAACAGGGAAAAGACGAAAACCATTCATAAACAAGGGCATAATAAAGGCAACAGACCAGTATGCAGTATCATCATTAAAACCCGAAATTGACACTAAAAACAAATCAAATACTGAATGAAGCAACTTGACAAACACCCGGTTCAGTGAACCAGGTATTTGCATCTTGGTGATGGAAACCAACACAATAAACGAATGAAGTACCTGAAAGCAAATGCAACAAGCAAACCAGGAAAGAGAATGTCACCGAATCCAATCATATCATAACCACCCCATGGATCAAAAGCTTGTGGAACTCTCAAAAGCATGGGAATTGACTCTCCACCACTATTGTCACCCCGAGCCACCTATTAATAGGAGCAAAAAGAAAGAGATAAAGGTTCATCCTTGAACGGTCACCTTATATTATGTCTTTAGGTTGCCATACGTCAAAACTACTTTTATTAAAATGGATTAGAAGCAAGATTTTACATTTTACTGTAAGTATAAACTAGTGTCAATTTCTACACACACACAGTTGGACCGACCAACCAGTCGAACCAGTTTACATATGAAGTAACCCCTCATACACAGAGGCATCTAAAAACTTTTACTAGCTGTTAAGAGTTTAAAATAATAAACAAACTTCAGTATAAGTGAGGGATCAGCTTGGCTTACACTTCATCAGACTCATTCATAGGAATTTTCAAGTTTAGAAACTTGTTTTAGGGCCTTAATCAAATACCATAGGCTAACTAGTGTTAAGACAGGAGATTATATGTTGACAACATGATTTCAGATGAGAGATGTTGTCTAGTACACAAAAGTGAGAGAACAAAGACCATGGTTTTTCCATATAAACAAATTTGCATGACCGATGATAATGAATTGAGTAAAAAAGATACGGTTGTTCTATTAGATGCAAAAAGCCAATACTTTAAATGGAGTCAAACCAAAATATTTGGGATGAAATGCTGACTGCAATCATCACACTCTCATGGAATATAAGTGGTGATAGGAAAACCCAGAAGATGTCATAAACGAATGCACAACAGAGAAGCACTGTAGCAACCTGGTCCATGAAGAATTATCAGGACATGGAATGAAATATATTTAAGATATACATGATAAATGAAACCACTGTACATTGATATTAGGCAGTCGAGTCAACTGTAATACTGTTATCATCAAGCAGATACCCTTTAGAAAAACAAAAAGGTAGTTAACAAATGCAAAGAAAAAGGCATCTGAACAATGTTGGAACCACCTTCGATGCAGAAACAAGCAATCAAAGTTAATACTAACCTCAAGTTACTTAAAACAACAGGGAAATGAGTAGGTGAAACAAACAGCAACTGACATTAAAAGGAATAACAATGGATATCGTAGGAATTCAAATGAGATACTAGATAACATTTCTTTCAAAACCAGATTATGCCTCTACTTAAATTAGCAATTTCAATTCAGCTGTGTTCCAGTACTGTTCACATTATTAACACCTCTTGTAAACAATTTTCTAACTCTGATTTAATAACCTGGATCTCAATCCTATTCCAAAAACCTTGTAATACGCTTATAATTTCCAATCCTCATAACATCGTTCACCATAAAATTTAATCTCAAAACACCACTTGTTTCCCTGAAATAGAATCAGTTCATTGCCAATTTTATACAACCATACTATTCTTTCTTCAACTACTCTACCTGAGCTAGCAACAACCGACTAAGACTGTTTTATTTTCTGTGAAATCACTGCAGAACCCTCTTTGTCTGAATCTCTCGAACTTGAGCCCTTGCCTCTCTTAACATAATGGGGAATTGAAGGCGTTCTAACCCTTTTTCCCCATCTGTAAACTATGTTCCGTTACTAATGTCTCCTCTTGTGCTCTCTTGATAGCTTTGGCTCGATTAATAACTTCTTGCAAGTTAGGCAAACTCAAAGCCAAAATCATTTCTTTTAATTTTGACCTTAACCCCTCAATAAACCAATTGCGTCGGGCATTATCATTTTGAACTACCTCCGTAGAAAAATGGTTCAACTTATTATAATCACCCTCATACTCGTGTATTTCTCGATCACCTTATTTCAAATTTAGAACTTTAACAGCATTGCCCGTTTGAACTGTTCACCTACATACTTGTTCTTAAATTCTTCCAGGAAGAATTGTCAAATGACTTGCTCCGGTGGTGCATACTTCGTAGTGTTGGACCACCATACTCGAGCTGATCCTCTAAGTAAAGATATAGCTCCTCCCAACTTTTCCTGATCTAAGCATTGTAGGCTTTCAAGCATTAATATCACATAATTTAACCATATATCAACCTCTGTAGGACCCTTAACTTCATCTCCTCGAAACTCTAGAGCTCTCAAACTCTTCAGCTCCTTTGGGATCAACATTCTAGGTACTGGAGGAGTAGGTGGAGGTTGAAAATGAGTCAACATAGCATTGAGATCTTGCATAAAAACTCCATACTCTGGTACCGACATCCCTTGATGTACAGGCGCACTAGCATTTTCAGATGGAATCAATTGCTCACTATTAGCTTCGTAACTTTCGCTATCAGTTCCTTCTCTCATCTCTTGTTCCCCCGCTCTACGCGAGTTAGAGGATTTTGACATCTTTTAGAACATACATAGTAATAACATTTCAATTAGTAAGGAGTGTCATCAATTACACTTTAATGACACCATATCAGTAACTTTGACAATCTTAATGGCATGTAATCCCCTTTATCTAATTTCAATTGAACTAAGTTTTTGCTGAGAATCGGCTAAACCTGTAGCTCTAGTACCAATAAATGTAACAATCATATCCCGTATACCTTTACGTACAAGAGATACAGAGGTCACATCACGTTATAAAACTTTATGTCATTTGAAAACATGATATTTATAAAGATAATATACTAAAACTTTCACATTAGTACATTACAAAGTATTTACTATAGTTTAATTACATGCCAACTAAGTTCTCAAAATGTGTAAGATTATCATAATGTTACTGGTGAGTCAACCTTTAATTGATGAAAGCTGCTGCAACAGCTACACTCCTTACGCAGCTAATCATTGCCTTTACCTAGCATGAAATAAACACACGTTAAGTAATTACTTAGTGATACATAATATTGCAATGATATTATAATTATACAACAATATCTTATGAATACTGAATAAAGAATTTAATTTCGTCATTTATAAGGACCAGTTGAGCCATTCTTGATTCAACCAAAATTCTTTCATACCATCATACTCATCCTTTTGTATATCTTTCCCTTTTTATTCTTTATTTACCCTGTATACTTTAAATATGAAGGTACTATACATGTATTGCACTAAGGTGCTAATTGATCATGTATCTTTTGTACTCATTAAGGCAACACCTTAAGTACTTTTAATACACCTTTTTTATATTTTCATTTGGGTATCATTCCATGCCCATTATGTTCTGTTTATGCTTTTCTTTATAACATCCCTTTATACTAGTTAGGCATTGTTGTACCTTATATATATATATATATCATCCCTTCATATCACTTATATGTCATTCATATCACATTTCAATTTCTTTATTCTTCTTCCCCAAAGTATTTAGATTTTCATTTAACTTTCATATTTGACACTTTTCTGTCAAATGCACAGCTAATCCATTATTCTTTTATTCAACAGTGTTTAACATTTCATCTAACTGACATAATTGGCAGCTTTCTACCAATTGCACAGTTAGGCCATTATTCTTTTACTCAACACTATCTAACTGAATAATTGGCACCTTTCTACCAATTACACAGTTAGACCATTATTATTTTACTCAACGGTATTTAATCGTTCATCTAACATAATTGGCACATTTCTACCAATTCTATAGTTAGACCATTATTATTTTACTCAACGGTAATTAACCGTTCATCTAACTAGAATAATTGGCACCTTTATACCAATTGCATAGTTAGGCCATTATTCTTTTACTCAACGTTATTTAACCGTTCATCTAACTGGCATAATTGGCACATTTCTACCAATTGCACAGTTAGGCCATTATTCTTTCTCAACGGTATTTAACCATTCATCTAATTTACATAATTGGCACATTTCTACCAATTGCACAGTTAGGCCATTATTCTTTTACTCAACGTTATTTAACGTTCATCTAACTGCCATAATTGGTACATTTCTACCAATTGCACAGTTAGGCCTCAAAGGCACTTAGCCTTTTATCTAACTGGCATAATTGACACCTTTCTGTCATAAGCACAGTTAGGCCTCAAAGGCACTTAGGCGTTCATCTAACTGGCATAAAATGACACCTTTCTGTCATAAGCACATTTAGGCCTATTAATCTTTTATTTTAGAGCAGTCTCTACTATAGTAATCATTCATAATATCAAACCCCTTTCAATCATTATACATTCTACGATTTATAATCATAATGCCAATGCAGTAATACCAATTTTTTCTATAATTTACATGGATTACTCATTCACTACAATTACGACAATTCACCTTTCTATTATAAACTTCTAACAATTTCACATATATTTTCCCATACGAACATTCATACACTTGGTAAGAATTTCTTAGTTTGCACATATAGTGCCCATACGAAAATTCATACACTTAGTATGAATATCTTACAATTTTTGTACTCTTAGTGTCGTTTGGTAATCACCATACTTCCATTAATAGATCATACAACTATGCCTACAGTAACATATACATACATAATTAAATGTACTCACCTGAATTTCCTCTCTAAGTATCCAAAACGTAAGGCTGATTACTCTGGTACTTTGTCTTTGCCCTTAGTTTTACTTGTCTTGAGAGCTTGGTTCTGATCTACTTAAGCATCCATTAAAACAGGTACCATACCTAAAGTTAGTTTTTTTTTCTCTAACCATTAAACTTAAACAATACTCAAAAGGATATATCATTAACTTTCTATAACAATATCAACCTATTTTTAAAATTTTTGGCTCTATAGTATCGATACTACTACCCTAGTACCTATACTTCTATACTATGGTATCGATACCCCCTTCTGGTATCGATACTGATTTTAGGTTCGATGTTGCCTAGTATCGATTCTCTTACCATGGTATCGATACTACCATACTATGGTACTAATACCCCTTTACGGTATCGATACAGGTTTTTAATTCGATGTTGCTTAGTATCGATACCCTTATCATGGTATCAATATTACCTCTTCGGTATCGATACTGATTGAATCAGTATCGATACTACTCAGTTAATTCATCTCATTTTAGCCTATAGTATCAGTATTGTTCTATCAGTATCGTTACCCTTGCCCATATTTTTTAGTTTTTAACTTGATTTTTAACCAAATTGGGTTAAATTTCTTTATATTTACACCCCACAATGTGTTGAGTTAATCGATCGATGGAATTGGCCAAGAGGGGGGTGAATTGGCAATTAAAATTTTGGTAGAAGCTTTTGCAGAAAATTGAAAAGATTTGCACAGCGATTTAGAGTGGTTCGACTTTCTCAACCAAAGTCTACGTCCATTACCTTAGCTATCCACACTAAGGATTTTCCAACAAATTCACTAATTTGTTCTTTCTTTTGAGGCCAAAGAGATAACCTTACAACTCCCTCAAGAATATACCTCAATTCTTGAGAACACTCTTTCTCAAAGAGAAGATTACAAATTTGCAAACTTACAAGGAAAACCTCACAAGGTAGATTGTTTGCACAATTCTAGAACAAAGAAAAGAACACTCAAAAATGAATACAATTGAGTACAAGTAGTGTTCTTGAAAGCAAAATGAATATTGAATGAAAAATAGGCTTGAAATGCTCAAACTTGAGGTTTGATGCTTTCTCTTTGATTCTCTCTTGATTCTTGTTTCTTGTGTTTTCTTGTTTTTGATCAATGGCTTCTAAGCTTGTTTAAATACTCCTTCAAATGATTCTGAACGTTGGGGATGATTAGTGGAGTCAATAGAGTCGTTTAAGTGTGAAAACAATTAATTAAATTAGTTGGGAGCGTCTGTGCATCGATGCATACCCAAGGTGCATCGGTGCATCAAGTGTAAAATTCAAATATTTTGACTGTTGGACCCTTAATGCATTCAATATTTCAAAATAGCATGAGTGCATCGATGCATGGCTGGTGCATCGATGCATCAAATGCATTCGATGTTTTCATAAAACCCTGAGTGCATCGATGCATGATATGTGCATCGATGCATGAAATGCATTCGATGTTCAATTTATTCCATGGTGCATCGATGCATGGATTGGTGCATCACGTTGAAAAATGATTTTGGGCTTGATTTTTGTTCAAAATACTTTGTGAAAATTGTTTCAAAAATATATTAAGTATAAAACACAATTTTACACATTTAGTACGGTTTGAAATTGATCTTGAAGACTTGGAGTAATAATTTGATATTCGAGTAATTAAATCGAATATACTTAGAAAATAATTTGTAAAATCTTAAAATTCATTTATACTTAATTTGTTATATCAAAACATCAAAATGTTTTCAACACAATGCCATTTAACACTTCTCTACTTATCCATACTAACTTTCCTTCATATAGCCTCTTAACACCTCTAAAATCTTTCAAGAACTTTTAATTCTAAGAATCAAACCACTTTTGTTAATATGTTCTTAATCCTATCTAATGGTTATATTCTCTCATTTACCTCTTTGACAAGTCAAATCTACCAGTAATCATCAATAAAACCAATATACTAACATATCATTTCAAAAACCCATTTTCTAAAATCTACCATATTTCATTCATTTCATAGTTTTAACCTCATTTAATCATTCCTTAAGCTTATATATCACTTAAGGTTACAAGAACTACCCATAATCGAAAGGAAAATCAAATAATTAAAGTTTACCTTTAGAGCTATGGAGGATAGCAACACCCACGGGAAAGAAGGAAGAAGAAGAAAAATAACTTATTTGACTTATTTTCCCCTTTTTATTTAAATCCCTAGAATTTAAATGGGATTTAAATTCATTTTACTTAAAAGGACCAAAATGCCCTTTCATTATTCTATCTCTTACACATTGGTCTTACTTAAGTCATTTCTTATACTTTATCTTTTATTCAATTTAGTCCTCTAAATTTTTAATTCCTTTCAAATTAGTCACTGACCTACTATTTGGGGTATTACAATTCTCCCCCTTAAGAAAATTCATCCTCGAATTTTAAAAACTTTATGTGTTTACCACAATACTACAATTATCTGTCGAACCTGACCTCCCAAAAGTCCTTAATTTCTTCACTTTCTACTTATAACATTCTTATCCAAATTTTTTTCGTCTTTACTTATAACATTCTTATCCAAATTTTTTTCGTCTTTCGTTTGTAATATAATCAATGATCACCTCATACACCTTTAGAGGTTCTGAATATCTTTTCTATCTTATGTTCCCTCTCTTCAATTCCACAATTAATTAAGGCTCATGTGATTAGCACCACTATAGTACCACTCACTATACCAATAATGACGTCAAATCTTTTAAGGCAACTATACTACTGCCGACTCTAAATCACACGTAGATAATTCCTCTTGATTTTGTGATACTAAATCATAGAAACATGTTCAATACTATAATAACCAACTACCTTGAATTTCATCTCTCGATCTAGAGGTAACCCAAGATATTGATCTAAAAAGACATCTCTAATTTTCCCAATTTGATTAAATTATCAGACAATCATACTTTTCTTATTTGAGTATCTATTACATTACCCAAACATCATTCTCTTCACAATCATTATCAATGTCACTTTAAGCAATAATATTAACTCATCAATTTGCAATTCCATAAGATTCACTCAAAACATAGTCCCTGGAATCTTTATTAATTGTCTACTACCTTTCTATTCATACTTTTACCATGACCTATTAAGGTTTACAGCTATCCTTTTACTCAAAATTGGTTCTACAGAAATTCATCTAGCTCTAGCCAACCTTATACTAATATATAGATGCATAGATCAATGGTCAATGGTCAACTAATACCAATACAGGTTTATCAAAAGATGAAAAATACCTTTTACAATTTTCGGATCATCCAAATCCTCAATGATCGTAACATTATAGATTCTGGCGAGTCCCTGAGTCTCTAGTCGCTGCAATGATTCATCTCGTCCCCTTGATCTTCCACT